CCTAAATTTAGTTAAATGTTACAAATATAAATTTATATACAACCGGTTATCAATTGGTATAACGAACCAAAACGTTAAATCTATTGAACAATATCTCGAATTTAAAATTTAATATTATGAATAAATTAAACTAAATCAAGACGGTCATTCCAATAATAAATAAATCTTTGTGCAAATGTATATAATATAATTATTGGCTTAATAAATTATATAAAAGTAAAATAAGTTAAAATATAGAGAGAAAAACAATAAAAGGGGGTGCAAACTTTTCTACTATTCAAATTGCTCTCTTTTCGTCATATCTTACCAATGTTATGAGTAACTTCTTCCTCTTTCCTTTTAAAGATGCATGGGCGTAGTAGGATTAGATATAAACAGGAGTTGAAATATTAAATCTTTTAAGAAAAATACAATGATTTATTAGGTATTTAAACTTATAATTCAGAAAACAATGTTTAATTTGTCTAATAATTAAATTTATAATGACCTAAATTGTTATTATATCAAAAAATTGAGAACATTGAGTTATCATTTCATTTTTTTTGTATAACCACCGGTTTCCAATCTACAGGTCGATTAATTTGGATTAGGTATACAAAGGCGATGGTGACCCTCCCAATCCAATTTGCTCCATTCACAATCGCCAAGATTCGAACATGTGACCTTGCTTAAGAGATGTAGTGTCTCATCCCGTTAGACCAACCGGTTGTTAGTATTGGATTATCATTATTTAGTTCGCCTCCTACTTGATTAAATATCTAATAAATTCTTATATTTCTTAATTTAAATACTTAATTTTACATTAACTAAAATACTATTAGATCAAAACCCATCGAACATAAAATAAGTTTACATAGGTGGGTCCCTTTTGAGCTCTAAGGGAGCTCCGCCCCTCACAAGATGTAACCCTAAGATTAGATTTTTCAGATTAAGCTAATCATTGTGGATCCCCTCTCCTCCAAAAGAAAAAAAAAAGAGTTTTCTACAAAAAAAAAAACATATTAAATCTAAAAAGTAACCTCCATTAGAAGATGAGTTATTGATTACATCATATTTGTAAAATATTATTTGCTACGTTAATGATGAAGTTTTCTAATTTTGTAAGTAAAATTTTGATAAATAAACACTTGGGATATTTTTTTGTTATATCAATTTTGATAAATAAACACTTGGGCTATTTTTTTCTAGGCTCAAGAATATTTTTATAAATCCTTAGTTTTTCAAAGGATAAATCAAAATCATCCCTTTTATAAAAGAATAAAAATGTAAACAAGAAAATATCACAATATAAGTGTTTATAAGAATTGTGTTCACAAAAAATAATCCTAAAAATTTGCAATTAAGTGCAAAACACTTGTGTACATTGAAAATAAATAGTGAAAGAGTTTTTCTCTTGATCTTGATTGCTTTGATAAGTGTTGTAGCATTCTTCAAGTATCATTGACTTATTTTTATAAGTTGGATTGTGGTTTTAGTCATTTCTAGCCGTTGGGATGATTTGGAATCGTTCAAGACTTATTTTTCTACAAAATAAAATGGTATTGCCTTTGGATTATCGGTATTTTCTTTATAATATTTAAATAAACTTGATGTTAATTAGTGGCAAAACTTGGTGATAAGGTTTGAATTAAAATTTTAAAACTTGGTGATTTGGGGGGCAACATAAAATTTTAAAAATTTTAGAGGTTTAAATTAAAATCTTTAAAAATTTTGAAGGTTTTAGTTTACATTTTTTTCCAAAAAATTAAGGTCTAACAAAAAATTTTGAAATTTTGAGAGACTTAATGAGAATTTTTTAGAAATCATGGGAGGGGGTTTTATCAAGAACATTCAAAAAAATTTACAATTTAATCTGAATTTTAAAAAAAAATTGGGGGCCAAATTATTTTTTTTTAAAACTTTAAGGGTCTATATTGTAATTTTATAAATTTTAGGGGGCCATGGCCCCCACTACTCCCTCTTACCTTCCACACTGCTGTTAATAACTGGTGGGCTTGACTTGAATCGATATCAAGGTTTCACGATATCGATACTACTATGTAAAATAATATCAATATTCTTAGAGTATCGGTACCAATTTCGCATTCTAGAATTGAACAACTTGAAAAACAAAGGGTAGTATCGATACTTCTCTTACCTTTAGTGTCGATATTATATGAATAATATCGATATTTTTCATGCAGTATCAGTACTGTATGAACAATATCAATACTACTGACCCATAAAATTGTTTTACGTTCAAATTCTAGTTTTATGATCTTTAAATTTTTTTAAATCTTTGAACAAATTCCATCAAATCCAAAAGGATTTTGCCCTAACTTTGTTATATCAAAAATAAAGGTAGAACATGATTAGTTAAAAGAATGTTCTTAGTTAAATCAAGGATTTTATGAATAAAAGAAAAGGAATAAGGGCTTGTTTGATTATCAGAAAAAAAGTATAAATGCTTACTTATATAAAGAATAAAGATATATTAAAATTTTAAATAAAAATTATTATTTGGTATATTATTATTTAAAAAATTCACAAGTTAAAATTACTAGTGTCATTTGTATAATTTAAAGAATGTAAAAGCTAAATAAACGAGATCTTTATCGCTTTCTTAACTTGTGAGAACAAGTTTTACTGGTAATATATCTAATAAAAATATTTTTATTTCTATACTTTTATATAATATAAATAAAATTATAATTTTATATTTATATCAAGACACTTTTAAGAATTGAATTCATATTTAATAAAATAATTCTTAATACTACTATATTAAATGAATTTTATAAAATTATATTTTTCATTCATATCATGAGTATGACCAAATTTAATATTTTAATAAAACTCAAAGGGTAATAACTCATAATGTGTTGAGAGTGGGGGCCGAGTATAAATCAGATGATGTTGATGAGATGATGATCATGGTTGACAGTACACACGCGTGCACATGAACAGTGCTCTAGTTAGTTCCCTTTTATTTTATGGCTTCCCCAATTATTTGGCTTTTTAAGATATGATGCGTGCGTCATTGCAAGACAAAAGTGCTCCCCCTCTCCGTTGTTCTACAGTATCATACTTCAAATTATTAGATTTATTTCTTCTAAAAAAAAAAAGCAATTTAACTGTTACGATCGAAAATGAAAACCACTTTTAATTCATTTCGCCTTTACATGTGAGATTATATAATCGTTTATGAAAAGATGTTCATTTGGACTTTAATGGCCACCATCTTTCTTATACTGCAGACTTTTGAAAGGAAAAATCAATGAGAAAATATCGTCAAAACAAAATAAAGCGAATTTTCTCTGAAAATAAAAATTAGATATGTTAACAGAAAAATCATAGTCAAGCTCGTGGGGGATCTTTAAAATTATTTTTTTGACTGCATTTCAATTTCCTCCTCTCTTACGGTTCATTTAAGAATGTTTCGTTAAAAGAGTTTTCTCAAAGAATTTTTCTAACGCAAAAGCATTATTTTCAATTTCTTGATTTAAGTCGATAATCAAATTTTAAACGTAAATATTTGGCTGAAAATTAATTGTTTCAGAATACTTTTACTTTTCAAACAGAGTTTTGGACAAGAAATACTTTCATAAACATTCCTAAACGACTCCTTAATAACGTCGCATTAGTTTTAGCAAAAATTACATTATGTATAATTATTCTTTTAACAATTATGTATAAATAATTTTAGATTTAGCATCAATTTTATCATTAAATTTTAAATGAGTTACTTTTATTGTATGTCCATAAATTATATCCTTCATTTTAAATTAGTCTTTAAACTCTTGTCAGTGAGAAATTTGTGTAAGGTATGTCATCACTTACACAAACGACATGACAGTTCAAGGACATCATGTCTACTGGACAGTCAGTAAGGTAAACATATTTTCACAAAAGGAAGGTTCAAATAGGGACGCCTATCTAACCTATGCAAATATTGAACGTATAATCTATCACCACACTGAGTTAATGTTTTAAATAATAAAATTCATTCATGTGAGGGATTGTTGGAAAAATATGAATGAATTGATTTATTCAATCATTACTATTCAACATCTTTATTCATGAAAAATAGTTAAGTCTTTTCATGAAAAATAATTAATTCATTTTACCTAAAAAGTCAAGTCTTTTCGTGTTAACTTTTTCTTCAAAAGGTTATAATTTTAAATCAAATTGTTAAGTCATTTCATTTAAAGGTTTTAACCTTTTAATACAAATTCATCTCCCTATATAAAGACTAAGTTGTGACATATCTTAACACAAAACTTTTCCAATTTTCTTTCAAATACTTTCCTTTCAATTCTCCGATTCTTCCAAAGTCAATTTCTGGTGATATATAAAGACAAATATTATGTTTAGTTGTGCTTATTGTTGTGAACGTTTGTTGTTGTATCTTGGGAGATCGATGTCTAACGTTGCTCAAAGCACCGAGGAGAGGATAAATTTATCTTAAGAAAATTGTTCATACAGACCTCAACAAAATTCTTCTTCTATTTATTCAGTTTCATCCGATTACATGTTCTATTTTTATTTCACAAATTTTTTAAACTTTATTATTATAACGGAATTTGTAGATTATCATACTACAACCCTAATTTTTCAATATCTGCAACATGTAACAGGCGATACACTTGCTGGCGTCGCAGTAGAGTAATGTGGTAGAACCCTCTCTTTGTATTAAAAAATATATAGTTTAATAACAAATAATGTTAAGTCTAATGGTTAAATGTTCTCTTTATGCGATTGAAGTTACTTGGTTCGACAAACCCATCAATTTGAAGTGATATCATAATGTAATCTTGAATCTTGAAATATTCAACTTTTTTATATTAATTTTAAAGCAAACAAATGTTTCACCATCAAAGGACTTGAAATGTAACAATTTTGAGAGTGACAGCAGCACTATCCTCCAGAAAAAGAAAACAAATAAAATTAGAAAAAGCAGGCTATAAATAATGTGCACTAAGCAATTGGATCTTCTTCAGTGGTGCTTTTGCCAACGAAGATATACACACATATTTACAATCCCTTCCTACCTTTCTCTTTTCTCTATCTTTTAAGTTTTAAGGCAACAGAAGTCAACAAGAACACTTATTTTTTTTTCCTTCTTCTTTTCTTTTTCTAACACGAAGTAATTTAAGACTGTAAAAGCACTCTTATTATTACAGGGGGGGAAACATGTTTGCAGGAGATCAGAATGGTTTACGAGGTGACCCAAGGTTGAAGGAAATTTCTGAAGCCATAAGAGTTGTGCCTCACTTCCCAAAACCAGGTTTCTTCTTTTTCCATCCCTCAGCTTCTCATGAAAGATTTTTCTCTATTTTTATGTTGGTGTTTTGAAAGCAAAATTGTAAAACATGTGTTTTTCTTTTGGTTTGGTGTTCTATGTTCAGGAATTATGTTCCAAGACATAACCACACTGCTACTTGATCACAAGGCCTTCAAAGATACCGTCGACATCTTTGTTGATCGTTATAGAGATATGGGTATTTCTGTTGTTGCTGGTATCCTCTCACTATTTTGGCTTTTTTTTGCTTTTTCACTTCTCAGATTGATCGTGTTTTCGTATCATATTTAATTTATTATTAGTTCGAACTCGTTGATTATTTCATTTTTTTCTTCAAAAATAATCAACTGAAATTTGTGGATACCGATGTCATGGTGGCCATAGTAAATTATGATTTATAACCATTTGTCAAGAAGCACCAAATATTTATATATTACTAGTCGGATGAATGTTAATCAAGTAGGGTATGAGTCCAATACGAAATTGCTCCTCTTTCTAAGCCAAAGAATTTCAGCAAAAAGTATATGTTATAACAGTAGTTGGTGAGGTAGGAGATGTTGGAAGTATTCAAATCAAAGTATTGAAGTTCGTTCTATTATTGGTTACACTTGCTCACATGGTGAATTGACATTGTAGGAGTTGAAGCTCGAGGATTTATGTTTGGTCCCTCCATTGCTTTGGCTATTGGTGCCAAGTTTGTTCCCTTACGTAAACCCAGGAAATTGCCAGGTATACGTGTGGATTGCTTAATGACACCAAGTGACCGACATTGCTTAATGAAAACAAGTAATTTAAGCTCTTCTCACTATTTGACATACTAGGAGAGGTGATCTCCGAAGCATACGTACTCGAATACGGCACGGATTGTTTAGAGATGCATGTCGGAGCTGTTCAACTCGGCGAACGTGCCTTAGTTATCGACGATTTGGTGGCTACAGGGGGAACTCTTTCCGCTGCGATACGTCTGTTAGGTAATGCACCTCCGTTTAGATGCTCTTTACAAGTTTCTGAATCTTCCATGGCTGAAACTTTTGTTGCCGATGATGTTTACTAGAACGAGTCGGGGCACAAGTGGTTGAATGTGCATGTGTTGTTGGCCTGCGTGATGTTAAGGTAATATAAAAGAGATTAGAATAAAATTGAGCGTATCTGTATTCACACACAGTCTTTTTCCCTTAAAAATTTAGTATCTGTATGTTTTGCAGGTACAACATGGACTAAATGGAAAGCCATTGTACATTCTTGTGGAGCCACGGGGACAGATTAATTGCCCTGCACCTTCTGGTACTCAGATCACTGTCATATCTATATTAGATAAAGTTAATTATATATTGAAATAACACAAGTCGAACACTTACATCTGAATCCGAATTATTGGTTAAAAATGTCAATAATTGATTTTTTATATATATATATAAAATGCCTTACTGTCATTTCTAGAAGAAATAACGCATTGTATATTCTCAAGAGATTGGTGTCTCATCATGAAGTCAACTCCTAGAAAACCCATGCAACTTGACTGCTCTTTCTATTTTCCTTCGTCTATGTCACGCTAGCATGCTTATGGTATTAAGCTTTTTTAAGTATACTATTTTGTGACACTTTATTGGTTTCTTTTCACTTAAAAAGCCTTGATTCGTTTGTTAAAATGTCTCAATTAGATGTTTCTAGTTTGGGATGTCGATTGATCCGAACTTCTTATTTTATTTTATGTCACATACACATAATCGGATATGGAGATAGACATAAAGTATATTCGTATTAAATATATTCGAATATTTAATATTTATTTCGATCGATTAAGTGTTGATCGTTTTTCTTTTTCAGTTAATGGAGTTGAAACATGCAGACACGACGATCTGATTCTGGGAGCAAACTTTGGTTCTCCAGTGAACACCACTTCAAAAAGCGATTAGTGTTTTTCGTTTTTAAACCTTCGGTTGCAACATCTTTTCCATGAAAGAAGTTAATCTGCGAGTCTGTCTTAGTTTTACCTTCCATGTACTGCATTTCTTTGTGGTTATATTCGATTTTATCTTATCTGCTTTTCATTCATGCTTTTTCATACTCCCAGTCTTTTTTACCAATTTTTAATGGAAATAAAACTTAAATCGTTCAAGTATCGGTTTTATTGTGTAATATGTATGATTATTGATTATAATTATAATTATGATTATTCTTATAATTCTACCAACAGCCTTGTTAAGATGATAGGGGTTTTGCCACCTCTTTGGTAAATAATGATTTTAATTTTAACCGCTTTTATATATGAAAAAAATCAATTTAATACAAAATTTTCAGTTTTGGCCCTCCAATCCAAAAAGTTCTCCCAATAAACGATCTATTTATTCAAAATATAATTTATTCTAAATATCCTCAATTATTTTGACAATAAACGTTCAATCACCCTGTTACAGCTGTTGGTGTTCGAACCTGTGATTTTAGGAATAATAATAATTCCTTTAATCATTGATATAAGTTGATTCGTGCAACCTCTTTATTTAAAAGGAAAGGTAAAAAAAGAGTTTGGGATTGAAATTTCTATGATCAAGATTTTCTATAAATAAAAGCAACTACTAGATAAATTAATATTTAATTTAAAATATATAAACTGTTAAAAAAATTACTTTTCCGTTATTGCTCGTTATTTTATTATAAATAAATTAATAACTATGGAATAGCAGTTGCATTGCTATGTAAAAACGTAAAGGCAAAATTTGTAGATGAATCAAGACTGTTCTATTAACAATAGATAAAATATATATTTTTCGTTTTGTCAATAAGCACTAGTGGTCTAGTGGTAGAATAGTATCCTGCCACGGTACAGACACGGGTTCGATTCCCGGCTGGTGCATTTATCCGCTTGGTTTGTTTTTTTCCTTTCTTCTCTTATATTTTTGATAAAAATAAAACAATTTATGCAAACAAACAGTTGGTACGAAGTAGATGGTTTTTCATTTGGGAAAAAGAAAAGAGCATCGGCCATCATGAGAATAAGAAAACTTAGAAAAATTATAATCTCGCTGTACATGTTAAATGTAAATTGAAAAGCTCATGTAACCAAAAAGAAGAAAAATGAAAGAACTCTTACCACACAAGTTGAAAGCTCTGGGGTCTAAATATTTACAAAGGATCCTCTACCAGATTAAGCTTGCTCAATATCTGGTCTAATGCTCCAACTGTTGCTTTGTATCCAACTCCGGTCTTCCTGCATAATGCATCTGTACAGATGATCATACCTATGAAGTGGGTTATTAAACATCAATACCAACGTGGTTGTGATTCAGAACGTAACTCCGATTAATATCTCTTCTCCTGTTCTCCATGGTCATAGAATGTATAGATGCAGGATCTCCTCGATACCATCTTGGTTACCCTTTGAGGTTAAACAAACAGCAAACACAAAGCACCTTCATTTCAGTTGCATTGTGTATCATCACAATCACTTCATGTGTTTTGAGAAAACTGACAAGAATCATTTCATGGTATATCATCACAGGGTTGTCATAACCGGTGATTGGAGTGATATCTTGTCCAGCAATCATGCAAGGAAAACGAAATGACACCTCTCATTATCCGGGTTCAACAAGTATAAAATACGTTAATTTTGATCAAACTTTAATACCGATAAAATTCCTTAAATAATGTGGTGAAGAAAAAGAATAGTTTATCGAATTGTAAAGGAAATTATTTTTTCAATTAAGATAGAATGAATAGTACATCGGATAAGATAGACATTTTTAAGAAGACATTTTGGAAAACGCATATCGTCTTATAGATTAATACTAGTATGGAGAAGATACTGTCTTCCAAACATATTCTCAAGTGATTCGACAATCCTTCTTTCTGCACTATTCATTTGACACTAATTCAGAAAACAATTTCTCCAACTTCTTATACCAGCCATTTTTCCCCTTTAAATCATTATCTCATTATATTTGTCCTTTCGCACCAATAATGCATAGGAAGGGGTTCTTGAGTGGTTTAGTTGACTTGTTAATTTCAACCTGATATAAAAATAAGCTTATACTTTATTTAAATTTAATAATTTTTTGTAAACAAATAATTCAATTTTTATTTTTATTACTTTTATTCAATTTTTTATAACATAATACTCCATATTATAACAAAAACAACGTATTATAATTGAGGACAGATTTGGGCTTGCAAGTTTTTCTTTTCTCCATTAAAATATTTCAAAAATCGATGTAAACAACACATGATGAGGGGAAAACCCAGCTTTTTATATTAATATTAAAAAATATCCAATCAAAAGAATATTACAAAAAAATAATTATCAAAATAACTCATCTTCTTAATCATTTATCAAACTCCATTTTTTAAACCCAAAAAAAGTGTTCCTAAATATGAAAACAGAGGAGGGCAAAGGACATCAACGGACGGTTTAAAATGTACCTAAATATCAAAGTGAAAAACTCTTTGAAAATAAACCCTAGGTTAGCCTAAAGACAAGGACCTAACCCACATCACCATCAACAGGGGAGGGAAGAGGGCACCAACGGACGGTTTAAAATGTTCCTAATATCGAATCAGTCTTAAAAGTTTATACTATTGTTTATTTTTTAATTATATCCATCGTATCGTATTCAATTTCTTATTTCTATCTATTTTATTTACGACTGTGTACAGTATGAATAAGGTTAAAAACGACAGGGGAGGGAAGAGGGCACCAACGGACATGTTTAAAATCATTCCTAATATCGAATCAGTGTTAAAAGCTTATTGTTTATTTTTTAATTATATCCATCGTATCGTATTCAATTTCTTATTTCTATCTATTTTATTTACGACTGTGTACAGTATGAATAAGGTTAAAAACGACAGCTGGGAGTGAATAAAAAATTCAAATGAAGATGAGAGATAGGATGAGACAAGCACTGCTTTGAGAGGCGAGTAACATGTTTTTATTTTTAATAGAAACAATAATATAATATAATTTTCATACATACATACATAAGAAAGGTTGAAGATAGGCACATAATGGTAAATAATAAAACTATATACGTGTTAAAACTTTAAGCTTCCACGCATGATTGTTGATCAGAATAGTTGTGAATCTTATTAGATATACATACCGATATTTTGTTTGCAGTTTTTTGAACTGGCATATTTCTTTTCTTTTTATTCAATAAAATAATTTACTGTCTTTCAAAGTAAGTGGATCATTCCGGAAGAAGAAATATTATCGTTACTTAAATAAAACGATAAATTATAATATTCGGACAGCGGAGGGAGTGGGAGGCTTGCACGCTGTCCGATACACGCGACGTCATCAGTCCTCTTATTAGCGTTTTTACCAAAAACAAAAAACTCAAATAAAGGCATCTGCTGACTAAATTTTATCAATTTAATACCTATTTCTTTAGGTTTTCATTCAAGCAGGTGCCACACAGAAAAACACGGATCACCATCTATGCATTTCTGAGAAAAATTGACACATGGTCTTAAATCTTAAATTTTAAATCTTAAATCAAATTTTATTAATCTAACACATATTTCTTTTGAGCATGTGTTGAATCACCATTTGTGCCTTCGTGGGAAAAAATGACACGCAACAGAAGGCGCAAATGTCTTCCATTATTCACCAATAATTATTAGGTACTCTATTATTACTCGAGCCTTTAAGCCCTGCGACTCACCCCTCTCCTCCCTTATAAATACATCGAATACAAACATCAAATCACACCAAAATTACTTTCACATTCTTCATTTTATCAAGCTAATTATATTTTATTATTATATTATATTTATTTTATATTTAATTATTTGACCAATATTTTTTTATACTAATGATTTTGTTTTATTTTTTTACTGATATAAAATAAAAGGCGAGATCAAATCTTGAGACATTTTCTCGATACGGTAACAATGTTAAATTGTGTTATTAAATTTATTGTGAATCTTTTAAATGTTTTAGCATTAGTTTATTTTTAACTTAGTATATTATTTATTTAATTAGTATATTATTTATTTAATCTATTGTTTTTGCAGATATAAGGCTCTCAATATTCAAACTCTTCAACTCTAAAATGAGACATATTTCAGTTATTGTTTACTATGATGAATAAATTAGGGAAGATGAAACAGACGTTGTTTTCGTATCAAATCATTATGTCATAATATCATTAAAGAGAAGCATCACTCTTGAGGAGTTGATCACTAAAATTTCAAGGAATGTTTATGTTGGAATTAGTAGAAGATGTCCTCACTTCAGTACAAATTTTTAACAGTAGTATTTCGGTTAACATATACAGCGCTCGAACTCTCCAACGATGACGATGTTTCTATGATGGTTGATTCTCATAATCAAAATTCGGACGTCGATACACATATGTATGCGATATTTGTTGAAATGTATGCGGTTCGTGGTATGTCATTATACTCACACTATGGGTTGGCTCAACAAGTTGATCAAATTGATAGCCCAACTACAGTAACGTGTAATGATTTTAACGCAATAATGAGAAATCCACATCATGGTACCATTCCATCAAGTTCAATGGGAATACATTCATCAGCAACTTGTTAGGATGTCTATCGAGGTGGCTCTATGAACAATCTGTATGGCAATGTCGCTTCTAGTTCAAGGGGAAGACATTCATCTGCCAATTTCTTTGACTTGAATATGAGGATGCCATCGACACAACAATCTGTTCAGTACCCATTTGACACGACGACTTAAAGTTCAAGTGGAGACATTCAACTGCGAATGTCGATGAAGTTCTCACAACTACGGTACCACCAAATCTCCAACACATATGTATGAAGCTGACTATGGTGCAATGAAAGAGCCAGATTTTATGGATATACCTAATGTTGATGACTATGGATTTAATTCATCAATCAATGATGGTGAGTTATATATCGAAATGGAGTTTCCAACGAAAGAATAAGCATGATTGCTATTAAGAATTACAACAGTCGTAATTATGTTCACTCCAGAGTTGACCGATCCACCACTGAAAAGTATGTTTGTTAC